GGTGGTTCAGGATGAGCATATGAAGGAGGTAATTCACTTAATTTTGCTGATAACACTTTAGTGTTTTGCAAACTGGATGAAAGGATAATGCTTAACCTGATATACATTTTACTGAGTTTCTAAGCAGTCCCTAGTCTCAATATCAACTTAGCTAAGTCTAAGTTGGTAGGTGATGGGAGGGATGCTCCAAGGTTGGCAAGAGTCATGGGGTGTAAAAATATGGAGTTGTTGATTAAGTACTTGTGCTCCCCTTTAGGGGCCAAATTAAAGATGTAAGGATGTGGGATCCTGTAGTGGCAAGGTTTCAGAGGACATTGGCGGATGGAAGAGAAACTTTTCATTCAAACGGGGAATACTACCTCTTACTAAAAGTACGCTGGTCAACCTACCCATTCATTACATGTCCCTTTTGACAATCCTGATGAGTGTTGTCAAAAGATTAGAATCAATTCAGTGTAAATTCGTTTCGGGTGACTCCTAGGATAGGAAAAGATATCACCTGATGGAGTAGGATAAAATCTAAAAGCCAATATCCAAGAGAGATTTGGGATTGAGATCTTTAGTGGAGATGAATCTACCTTTAGAGGGTAAGTAACTACAAAGATTCATGAAAAACGATGGTACCCTATGGTGGAGGGCGATAATGGTGAAGTTCGGTACTGTGGATAGATGGTGGTACCTTCAAGTGTTAACTAAACCACATGGGATGGGGCACGAGTATGATTAAATTTCAGAATTATATCAAGTGGAGAGTTGGCAATGGAGACAAGATCAACTTTTAGCAAAACGTTAGGTTTGGAGAGGAATCACTGAGAAATCAGTTTCCTCATAGCTATGCTATTGCACGACATAAGAAAATTGTTTTTTGAGTCATTCAGAGATAATGGAGGCGAAAGTGAATGACATGTGGAAATTATGAGAAACGTCAATAATTGAGAAATTAATGATTGTGAGACTCTCCTTAGTACACTCTCCTCCACATCAATTAATGAGAGTAATGACCAACCAGATGCTCCACAGAGTTGCTTTCTTTGTGGGATAAGTAGATGTCGACATATCCTTACTATTGATAAGTGGATTATAAGGGAAAAGATTTTGATTAACTGTTATTTTCTATGCAAGAGAGAGGCGAAATCTTATAGTCTTAACCTTCTTTAATGCCTACTCGCGTATAAGTTATGGAACATGACTTACAGGTTACTGAGGATCAGTTAGGCGATGGTTGGGTCAGTAAGGGAAGAGACTTGGGCTAGGAGGGTATTAGTGGAGGAAAAAAGTTAATCACATTTCTCTTGCTACCTTTTGGATGGCGCGGAAAGAGAAGAACAGGAGCGCTTTTGAATGGATGGAAGATGAATTTGATGGAGTTAAAGATAGATGGTTCTAAACTCTAGATTTTTTTTTTACAGGTCATCCTCTTTATACAATGGAGGAGTTTGAGGATCTCATTGATATTCTGATTGACATGTGCATACTTTTTTTTACATGAGTTGGCACCTTAGTGCTTGTGAAATACTGTGTCATCCTATTTTTTTTTTTTTTTAAAAAATTAATTTCTAGAGAGAAAATAAAGTAGGGAACTGGAAAGCAAGTGAAACAGTATCAATTTAATGGTCCTTCCATAAAAGGAAATGGGAATCATCACCAACTCTCAAATGAAGTGAAGGTAAGAAAAATTCAGTTTTAGAAGAAACCTCCATAATCATTTAGTCAAAAAATACTTTTTTTAAAAAATTTCCCAATGCCAAGACCACCTATAGAAGCTAAACCAGACGGGGGAATTCTCTGTCAAATCATTTTATAAGCACATTGTGAGGGAGGATCCTGCTATTACACGTAAGTTCCCATTTATCCAGATCTGGAAATTGAAGGTGCCACCAAGAATTGCTTTTTTCGCGTGGGAGGCCAATAGAGAAAGCATTTTCACTATTGACAAACTGATGGCTACAGGCCATATCTTGGTTAATAGGTATTATTTGTGAAAGAAAGTGGCGGACTCATGCAATCATATTTCTCCTTTGGTGCTCTGCTGTCTTTGACTTGTAGTGTATGATTTATGGTTTAATTGGAGTCAATTAGGTGATGGTCTGAACTGTAAAAGATGAGATTTGGGCTTGGGGAGGACTAGGTACAGAGAGAGAACTTGTAAAATTAATACCATTGACCATTTTATGGGTCATATGCAAAGAAAACAATTTAAGAGCTTTTGAGGATAAAGAGGTTGAGGCCTATATATTGAGAGATAGATGGTAGAATTATTTTGGATCTTTTGTATTGCGCATAACATTATTAGGGATGAGAATTTTAGAAATGTCATTGACATCCTAATACACTTGTAAATTTTTTGTATATGGTTAGTACCCCTTGACACCTTGTTAATACATACTTCACACTACTTAATTTAAAAAAAAATATATATATTCCCAATGCCAAGACCACCTCCTCTTTACTTGGACTTTTTGCACCTTAGTAAGTGATCTCTCTTAGGCGCACCTAAATCTGACAAGACGAATGCTTTCATCACCCAGCCACACCCCTAGGGATCATAAAGACAGATAAATAATAAAAGGGAATAGTTGACAGGAAATATTGAATAAGAGTGAACCTCCACCCAAGGGAAAATAGGGCAACCTTCCACGTCTCCAAGAGCTCAGAAAGCTTGCAATACTACGGGGTCTTAGAAGGAGGCAACCTTAAGGGTCCCAAAAAGAAAAGGAATATGAAGATAAATAAAAGATCACTCCAAAACTTCACATCCCACAGAATTGGCTTGGCCTGTCGCCTTTTGGTTTCGATATTGATACCCTTAACCATAGACCAAACTTAGCAAGCTGATTCTGACGTGAAATAATATTTGATATGTTCCAAAGTATATTGAGTTTCCAGTTATGGAATCAACTTCTAAGGATTTTGAATCAAAAGATGAGATAAAGAATGGATCAGCCTTAATTTTTTTTTGAAATAATGGATCAGCATTAATTTTAAAACTCTTTCAAACATAGAAATTGTTTGTTTAGGTGTTGGCAGAGTGGACATAGGGGTTACCAATTGCTCAAAGAAGATCAGCTAGCATGTCTGAATGAAACAAAAGGAGATGCAAAGAGACTATCCTTATGTCCTATGAGGATGATTATTTAGCCATTGGTGAATAAGTAAATACCTCTCCTTCGTCTGTATCAAGATGAAAATTAACAAACCTTGAAGTGGAGAAGTAAAAAGAACCAGCATGTTTTTTTATTGCTCAAGATCTTTACCCAAAAGACAACAAATGGAAGTTTAGTGCAAGGAGAAACTTGCACACAAATTTGCCAATGGTTCATTTCATCCTCCCACCAAAATTTTACTCTACTAACGAACTTGTTTTTCTATATTTTTGCCATTGAATAAATTGAGTGAAGAGTTCGCTAAATTTTCATTAGGAAGCTGAAGATCAAGATTTTATGTTAGTCATCATTCTAGATGAGTTTTCTCCAATCCAAAGAAGAATGACGCATAATGGATTTGGTTTAGATAGCCTAAAAATTGATTAAAACTATAATTCTTTCCAATATAAAGCTATTGTACTATTTATGATCTATTATCATAATTTTAGTGAGTTTAAGGTCCTATTCTTTTTAAGTACCTAATTTTCCTATTCTTACTAGAATAATGATTTTGAGCTTAATCCTATTTGGAAAAAGTTACTTAAAATTATAATAAATACTGATACATACCCACTTTTCAAGACAGTTCAGTTACTAAATAAAATACTTTTGAGACTTTTCTTAATTTTCTAGTTGTGTGATACAATTAAATTTTTAAGCATGATGCTCAAGAATTTTTAAACATAATACCTAATAAATTTGGTTTAATTTCTAGATTTTTATCTCTGAATCTCTAAGCAGGCAAATTAGCCATAATTTGTACTACATCACTAACTAAATAGGACATTGGGTATAATAAAACAGATACAGCAGATGAACTATACAGGAAAAGATTATGTAGAAAAACCTTAGTATCTTCTAATAAGTTATATAGAAAACATGCTTATTCTTTAACAGTGATAACAATTAGAAAAGTGTTCCCTAATGCTAAAAGTATTCCAACTTATTTTGTTTTTCACATCATTTCCCATGGGCCCAAAAATATCCACACAGCTTTATATCAATCCTAAAAATTAGGAAACTTCCATGCAAAAACTTAAATGCATTGACCTTTGCACATCCCCTTTTTTTTCTGGTGGCGCACTTTTCTTAACGTACAGGCATTTTGAACTTAAAGATCATGCCCAACCATACAATGGCTAAGAATCAATAAAAAAGAAAGAAAAGAACACAGGAACATACCTTGTGTTGAATGATGAGGTAACAAGCACAGCAGGGTAATGGACATCTGTCGGGATATTGTGATAGGGAGAATATTTCTGTATAGCATGAAAATTGTCTATATACCCTGGGTACCCAAACTCTTCATAGTCAATGGCTGTAAGTGGTAAAACAGGATAGAGAAGAGTGCTTGTTGGATCAAGAAATGGAACCTGAACATGAAAAAGATAAAATTATTTACAATGTAAAAGCACTGACATGCAATTGAAAGCAGACAGATATAACCATAGAAGGGGACTATGAAAAACCTCATAATTCCTAGCAGACATCTATACATACCTTCAAAACTGCGGCGCGAAATAAATTGGGGCAACAGTTGATAGCTGAAGCAACAAGAAGTCCACCAGCACTGTATCCCCAACTAGCAAGCTTGTTTTCTTGTACAATCTCTTTCTCAATAAGAAATTTGGCACAGGAGATATAATCTTCAATGGATTTGTGCTTCCTTATACCTCTGCCATCATGATGCCACTTCCTGCCCCCACCACCTCCACCCCTGGAAACAAAACACTTAAACACTTATAGTTAAGTTGTGGGCAGTCAAAACTCTAACCAAGAATTTGGTATTCATTTAAGACACAACAAATTGAACCATTTCACAGGGACAATGTATAAAAATGGCAACTGGGAGGAATGAATTCACACAGTAGCCAAGAATCATTCTGAAACAGACCTAACATCAGCATATGCAACAACCCAACCACGGTCAAGGAGGCTTTTCAGTTCACTGCGCCACCGCTTATCAAGGATTTCACCATAAGCTCCATGACCATGAAGCAGTCCAGGTTTTTGGTTCTCTTCTGCGGTTTTTCGTGAATATACGATAGTTAAAGGAACCATGGCTCCATCATGAGAACAGACGTCATGATTTTCACAGGCATAAAATTCAGAGAGATCATTCCACAAGTTATCATCTTCAGATTTGACATCGTTAACAAAACTGTAACTTTTGGTATTTGAGGCCTTTTCAGCTATGCTGGCAAAAGAGATTGTTCCATACAAAACTCGTGTTCTTTCATGGAGCATGTTTTGCTGTTGAATTATACTCCACTTGTTATTTGCTAAGTCATAATCAATAACAGCATCAGGCATCTGCAAGAAAAAATTAAGTCACTTGATGCTTTTCCTCAGAAAAAAGGATTGAGGAGCAATGGACAAAGTTCATAAAGAATTTAATGGAGGAAATAATGTTTCTGCTTATCATTTCCATTCACCAAAGGTGTGTATATATACAACCTAAATTCTAACAAACTCCTAACAGAATTATGGGGAGGAGGAAATAACAAAATTGGTTATTCTCCACCAACTTTGTGACTACCTCCGTTTACAGCAGGAAACAGAAAATGTATAACTAATATACTTATTTTAAACAAAATGAAAATACCTGAAAAAATAAACCTAACTAATTTGGAATTTATTCCCTTATTTTCTACTCTCCCCTTCAATCTAGTTTATATATATGTTTAGTAAACCTAGATTGAATATTATGTCATCAAAATTTCTTTAGGTAGAGCTTTTGTTAGAATATCTGTAATCTGTTGATTCGTTGGAATGTGCATCAGACTAATAGTTCCATCTTCTAATTTTTCTTTGATAAAATGGCGGTCGATCTCCACATATTTAGTTCTGTCATAGTGTACTGAGTTTTTGGCCATACTGATAGTTGATTGGTTGTCGCACCATACTTTTAAAAGTATATTGTTAAATGCTTTTAATTCTTCAATTATCCTTTTCAACCATACACCTTCACAAATACCATGAGCAAGCGCCCTAAATTCAGATTCTGCATTGCTGGGAGACACAACCGACTGTTTCTTGCTTTTTCACGTAACCAGGTTACCCCAAACAGAGGTGCAATATCCTGATGTAGATCTTCTGTTATTTGTAGAACCTGTCCAATCTATATCAGTGTAAATTTCAACACCTCTTTTTTTTGTCTTCCGAAAGAACAATCTTTATCTTGGAGTCATCTTGAAATACCTTAGAATTCAATACACAGCTCTCATGTGATGTTCAGTTGGCTGATTCATGAACCGACTTACTGTACGCACTGCAAAACTGATGTTTGGTCTTGTATGTGCTAAGTAGATAAGTTTCCCAACAAGTCTCTGGTATCTTCCTTTGTCAACCATTTTATCACTGACTCTGGATCCAAGTTTGATAACTGAATCCATCGGGGTGTCAGTGGGCTTACTTTCTAGCATCCCAGTCTCCTTCAGGAGATCCAGAACGTACTTTCGTTGAGATACTGAAATCTCCTTTTTGGATCTAGCCACTTCCACACCTAGGAAGTATTTCAGTACCCCAAGATCTTTTATTTCAAATTCTATGACCAGGAATTCTTTAAATTTCTAAATCTCCTCAAGGTGATCTCCTGTAAGAATGATATCATCAACGTATACAATCAAAATAGTTTTCTTACCTGAGATGCAGTGTTTGACAAACAGTATATGATCGGATTGACATTATTCATATCCTTCATGCTTTACGGCTGTTGTGAATTTATCAAACCTTGCCCTTAGAGATTGTTTACATATACACTTCTTCTTCTAAATCGCCATTAAGGAATGCATTCTTTACATCTAGTTGATAAAGTGGCCAGTTAATATTAGATGCAAGTGAGAGAAGTACCTGAATAGTATTGTACTTGGCAATCGGTGCAAATGTCTCCAGATAGTCTGCACAATATGATTGAGTATAGCCTTTGGCTACCAGGTGGGCCTTAAACCGATTCACACTCCCATCTGGGTTATATTTGGTTGTAAAGACCCATTTGCACCCCATTTGACGCTTTCCTAAAAATAGATCAGTTAGCTCCCATATCTCATTCTTTTCAAGTGCCTTGATCTCATCTAGGACAACTATCTTTTATTCTGGAATTTCCAAAGCCTCATGTATTGTTTTGGGCTCTGGTGAGCTGCTGTCTATCCTGCGCACAAAAGCATGATGTTCCGAGAACAATTTGTCTAATGAAACATAATCCTGTATAGGATGTTTGGTGCATGTCTGAATACCCTTCCTCAAAGCAATAAAAATATCAGAATCAAGAGTTGGTACAGAGATTACATTACCTGGATCAAGAGTGGATTCGTGGCAGTGCTTGGATGATTCAGGTGTTTTTCCTTTATTTTTTCTTGTATAGACACGTAACTCACTCGTTGCAGTTAATGTGTTTTCTGTAACTGATTTTGGTTCAGGTTTCTTTTGTGAGGTTTCGAGTTCAGGTTTCAAGGAAGATTTGTTTGGTGGTGGATTTTGCAGATACAGAGGAGGTACACTCACATCCTACAACTAATATTCCTGAGTGAATGTCTCCCCCTAAATATCAGTAGTGGGATAAAATGGTTGGTTCTCAAAAAATGTAACGTCCATTGTATTATAAAAACGGCGAGATTCTGGAACTAGACATTTGTATCTTTTTTTATTAGCAGAGTACCCAACAAAAATACACTTTATTACTCTTGGGTCTAATTTTCCACAAAGATGTTTATGAACATGAACATATGCTAAACAATCAAAGACTTTAAATGGCGTGTTTAAGATGTGTGAATCGAGAAAGACATTTGAGAGGATAGTGTAGGGTGATTGAAACTGTAAAATACGAGAGAGCATCCAATTAATCAAATAGATAACTGAAAGAACATCCTCTCCCCAAAGAAATTTTGGAACATGGGTGGTGAACATGAGTGATCTGGCAACCTCAAGGATATGTCTATTTTTCCTTTCGGTTATGCCATTTTACTGTAAAGTATGGACACAGGAGTTTTGATGAATAATGTCATGTTCAATAAAGTATTTTTCAAAGGTAGTTTCCAAATATTCACAAGTATTGTCGGATTTCAACACTTGGATGGTAGCATGAAATTAGCTTCGAATCATTGTATAAAATTTTTTAAACAGAGATCCCACTTCAGATTTTTTTTTTCATAAGAAATACTCAGGTGATTCTTGTATGGTCATCAATAAAAGATACAAACCACCTAATTACGGAAATATTAGAAACCCTAGAAGGGCCCCATACATCATTGTGAATTAATGCAAATGGTTTTAAAGGTTTGTATGGCAAGGTAGGAAATGAACTTCGAGTATGTTTAGAAAATTGGCATACTTCACACTGTAATGAAACTAGATCTTTTTCTTTAAATAATAATGGAAACATTTTTTTCAAGTACATGAAATTTAAATGTCTTAATCTATAGTAGCACAACATAATATCATGGTCATTATTTGCGGAAATAAAAACAGAGTTTTCACATACTGCATTGTGAGCTTATCTTTTAGAAGCATTGACCTGAAGCAAATATAATCCTGAACTCATCCTAGCACTGTCAATCGTTCTCCTCGAGTCCAAGTCCTGAAAATTACACATATTAAAAACAAATTTTGCAGCACATTTCAAATCTTCGCATAGCTTGCTGACTGATAATAAATTACAGTCTAAATTTGGAACATGGAGAACTGAATAGAGTCAAATTTTGAGACAAATTTACGGAACCTATTCTAGCCACTTTTGAGAGAGAACCATTTGCAATTCTGATTGAAAAATCTTCTTTACATCTTCTGTAATTTTGAAACATTGAGGCATCTCTACTCATATGGTCAGATGCTCCAGAATCTACCACCCACACCTGCCATTTTTCTGAAAAAACAGACAAGCCAAGAATATTACCTTTGTGTTCCACTGAGGCATTGACCGGGTACGATTTCTTGGACAGAATATATTGGAGGGCTTCCAACTGCTCAGGGGTAAATGGGTCTTTTTCCACTGCATTAGGGGGCATTTCCTCAACAACAACGTGATTCCCTTGATGCTTGCTAGAGCTCTCTGCCTTCGACGTCTTCCAATCACCCGAAGATGGTTTCCAGTTGCTTGGTTTGCCGTGAAGTTTCCAGCAACGATCCAGAATGTGCCCTAGCTTCCGACAGTGATCGCACCAGGGATTAGTCTTCTTCGTTCGACTATCAACAGCTCGGATCATGAGTGCTGAAACATTTTCAGTTAAGTGAGCTTGGTCAATCTCTCCTATCATGACCAACCAACGGCTCTTCTCGCGTCGAACCTCAGAAAAAACTTCCCGAAGGCTTGGTAATGGCTTGGTGCTCAGTACGCGTCCCCGAATCTCATCGAGATTCTTGTTCAGCCCGAGCAAAAATTTGAAGACTCGTTTCTCTTCAACGAAAGCTTTGAAGTTTTTCGCATACTCGGGACAGCTCCAACGACGCTCCTCAAAGGCATCCATCTGCTGCTAATTACGGGTTAGGAGATTGTAATACTGAGTGACGCTTAACTCACGTTGCCGAAGGTCATGGAGTGTCGATTCGATTTCGAAAATAGCCAAGGTGTTCTCCTTGCTAGAGTAGAATCCCTGAGCTGCCTTTCAGATTTCGTGGGTAGTTTCGTGGAGAAGGAAATTCTCTCCGATTTCAGGAGTCATTGAGGTGATAAGCCAAGACATAACCATGCTGTCTTCAATCTCCCAGACTTGCGCATTTAAGTCGGACGCTAGAGGAGGCATGAGCTCGCCAGTGAGGTGCCCATAATGCCCTTTTCTGCAGATGAATAAGCGAACAGACGACGAACATTGAAAGTAGTTGCTGCTGTCGAGTTTGTGTCCTGTGATACAGGACGATGACATCTCACTCACAGCTCTGGTGGTTGCTGTGTGGTGATAGGAACCAGAAGAAACCTCTGGTGGAGAAGACGAAAGCTTACCTGTGGCCATTGGAGACGTTGGCTCTGCAGGGATCTCTTTTCTTTTAGATCAGGTAAGCTTTGATACCATTAAAAATTTAATGGAGGAAATAATGCTTCTGCTTATCATTTCCATTCACCAAAGGTGTGTATATATACAGTCTAAATTCTAACAAACTCCTAACAGAATTATGGGGAGGAGGAAATAATAAAATTAGTTATTCTCCACCAACTTTGTAACTATTTCCGTTTACAGCAGAAAATAGAAAATATATAGCTAATGTACTTATTTTAAACAAAATGAAAATAGCTGCAAAAATAAACCTAACTAATTTGGAATTTATTCCCTTATTTTCTACAATTCAAGCAAATTTGAACAACCATAACAATTTCAATTCATTAATGTCCTTATGATAATATAAATTTTAATGCCCCCATTTGAGCGACTAAAGTAGACCAAATTTTGTTGTTACAGAGCAGAAGCATTCAGGTGATTCTTACTGAATCTAATTTCAAAAATCAATCATTAGTAAGTTGCAAATTCAATCAACAGGATGAAACACACAAAAGGATCACAACCTCTGCTCAGTCATTTAAGAATTAGATTGCCAAATTAAGATTTTGGTGGAAAAGTCATTACTTCCAAAATATAACCTGAATTGTTTCTTGTGCATATACTCCAAATCAAGTTAGTGATAATGACGAACAAACATACCACAGGAGACAATATTGTAAATCGCATGGTTGATGAGTAGAAGTCATAATTTGGACCAGGTGCAATTTGAGAAACATAATTTGGAAGAGGAAGAAAACAAGGCTGCAGCTCTTTCAGGTCAATTGGTCCCTACCACAACAAAAGGGCAAAAAGATGAGAATAAGCTAAGTCAAATGTATTAGATGATTTTCATTGCAGTGTAACTGTTGAGGACAACCTATCGTATACAGAAAGACAACCAATCTTCATCTGCTTACCACTCCAGTGGACAACGGTAGAGCAACTGAACAAATTCTATATTTCCGACCTTCTCTCAAAACCATTACCAAGTGTGTATTACAGAAATCAACGTCCTCTATAATCAGCTCTTGATCATCAAAGAAAACACTCTGCGGTGAACAAGAGTCAAGACAATGGATTATCTACAGCTTATATTCTGAAGGTACTAAAAACAGAGCAAGAAACTGGAGCTGGAATGAGGAATTTATCAACCAAATGGTTACCAAAAATAGCTAAAAGCAGATTATAAGCTTACAAGGATAAACATACATCTAAAAACCACAAAGAGAGAGGAAAACTATAGAACATAAAGACAATAGTCAAAAACACTTGAGTACAGATCATATTTGATGTGCAACAAAAAGAAGTGATTTTGTAAAGACAAAGAAATTATCAACCACCAACCTCCCAGGTATGGGGACCAAAAGAAGTGCCAACAGGACTTCGAAGAAGATAATGATAGTCAGCCATTTGGCCGTCCTTGGCAGCATCAGTAAATGCATAGAGGTACCCTTGATGGTGCTCGAGGATGCAGTGTGCTTGACCTTCACATTCCCAAACTAATGTCAAGCCAGATAATGGGTCAGCTGCATTTATCAGAAAGACCTAAGAAATGGTCAAGAATATCACTCTAACTGCAGTTAACTAAACTTAAATCAACTGTAAATGGCTTTGTTTCTTCACAATACCTTTGAAGATGTAGGAGAAAATGTATTTACAGTGACAAAATGGAAATCCTTTGTGTGTCTTATGCTAACATGAATATTGTCATCTAATTCTCCCAGAAGTAAAGCATCCTCATCCGTGGATCCAATCATGCTACAGTATATCCTAATACCAAAGAGAAAAAAGTTTCCAAACCAATTTTATCATATATAATCGGCAACTGAAAATTAAAAAGCACACGGAAGTTTAGTGAATACCACATAAATACCCACCTACACGGCCTCTTATTTTGATCAGTTACAACATAAAGCAGTGCCTGCCCGTCCTTGGCCCAAGCTATGTTCGAAACACGATCTGCTTGAGGCTTACTACATAATGCACCCGAATTCAAATTTCTGACAGACAACTTAAAGTAATCATTGTCTTTATCATACATAGTGTAAGCAAGAAACTTATGATCTGGTGATATCTCTGAGAATTCTTCACATGCATAACCTACAATAAGTCAAAACTAACCATAATCAACCATTCTTTAACATCTCTTGAGCTTACTAAACTAAAATTTTCTCTTGTACGTAATTTTCATTTGTCTAATAATCAAACAGAAGAAAAAGAGAAAGAAGCTCAATCCTTTATAACCAAACAAAAGAATTACCACCAAATCTTTCAGCTTCTTGATTGTAATCAAGCAGCTTTTGCTCAATTTTCTTCCCAGAGGTGAAATCAAATCCAGCACCAGGAGATTTATGTGAAACGAACTCCTCATTCAAACTGGCTAATCTTCTGCACAGAACGGAGTACTGCTTCCCCTCCTCTACCCTCCTATAATACAACCTGCAACCAGCACCTTCAACAATTTAAGGAGAAAAAAAAAAGAAGAGAAAAAAGAAAAGGTAACAATAATGTTCAGGTGGATAGAAAGGAACCGACCAAGGGCCCCAACGGAGGGGAGGAGTAGAAAGGTCGAAGGAAAGACGGCAAGCCATCTCCGATTGAAGCTTGCTCTGGAGGCGAACGGTATCAGAGAAAACAGCCTCAGTGTACTTCTCCTCTTGCTCCATATAGATATCCATGTGTCGCATGGCCACCTTATCATTGAGGCTTGACATCCAACTGTAGGGATCTTCCCATGTCGTATCGTGGACTGAGAAGGTCTGTGGCTTCTTTGGGGGCTTTGGCGGCGTGGGTGGGACCGATGATGTTGGGGTTCTAGGCGGCTTGTACTGGCGATTTTGAAAGAAGCGGCGGATGAGCGTGGCATGTGGGCTATGGCGGAAGAACCTCAAGGAGTTCGCGAGCAGCATTTTAGACGTACCTCTTTAACTGAGGGAGTACTTTTAAGTGGAGGCTTGCCTAAGATGTTTGGTTATAAAATACTACTAACTAGTTAATCACGTTTCCCGGAATTCAAATAACTACCGTACTATGACTATAGTACCTTTTACATTTTATATTAGGTTGGATAAACATAAAATTGAAACTAGAAATCATGCAAATAATATAAAGCATATATATTAGCAAACAAGTCATATCATACATAAAACAATGTTATGGTGAAATGAATCCAATGGAAAAAGTTGGATTCAATTTATTAATTTCTCTAACTAAAATAGAATTAACTATTGAATTCGAGACATAGTACATGGTTTCATAAAACTGTGTGATTTTTTTTATCTAAATCAAGTCGAGTTTATATAAATAAAATTTAGTTCAACATTATCTATTTGATACGAGTAAGGAAAGTCGTATTCTTTTAAAAAAAAATTAAAAAATAATAATCAAGTCAAGATTGTATGGATCAACTCCTTCTTGTGCAAAAAAAAAATCTTCTCATTTTCGAAGGAAATGAAGTTACATATATTTTTCATCTCCATTCAACAATTTTTATATGTTCCACACCTTTTTAAGACCTATAAAAAATTATATTCACACAATAAACAATATTATTTTTCTTAATTTTCTCATGTATTTAATTATATCATTCATACTCAATGATCTAAACCTAAAATTGAGTATCTTTTTATGTCAAATTTGTAGAAAAATTTCACAAATGTGCAAAACCTAAAATAAATCTCAAATCAAGCTAAAAATATACCTCAAGTGTAATTAATAATTCCTCTAAATAATAATTATATATTAAATAATTATACTCTTAGGCATAATTTTCTCATAATTTTTATTAAGGTTATTTTAATGTTTTAGTTACTTGGGTTTTATTATTTTTTTATCTTTTTAATTTAAATATTTTAATTTATTTTATTAAAATTCAATCTTTTATTTATATTATAATTTCTTTTATAATTCTTACTTAATTTTTCCTTCAATTCCAACTTAATTATTTTACATTTGCATATTTCTATTTCAAATTAAACATTGGTGAGTGTCAAATCTACTAAAAATAAATTACTATTTGACCAATAAAACAAAATTATAGTAGTGGTAAGTAAGGTCGAATCCACAGGGAATTAGAAACTAATTTTTTTCCTTACCTGATGAATGAAAAGTAAAAAAAAAAAAGGAGTTTTGTAGAACTCAATACACAAAATATAAAATAAACAAATAGTAGAAAAATTTTAAACAAACTCTTGGCTACAAATTAAAATCTAAAGCAATTATAAAAAAGTTTTCTAGTTGATGAAATAACAAACTCTAGTAACATAATTGATTATAGATGCAAAGATTTATTTTATTTAAATTATATTAAAGTAGTTGTAGTTGTCAGAAACATTCCGACAACCAATTTTTTCCTATTTTTAAACCATCTAAGAAACGTTTATTAGTTGGTTCTTTGCTGCCCAACAATCCTGAGAACGTCCACATGATTTTAATTGCCAAGGCCCTTAGAAACAAGAAGAACCTGATTCAAGTTATCGAATTCATCAGCGTGAACCAGTTAACCAGATTACTTACCCCCTAAATGCGACACTGATCGCTGCTAGGTGCTAGAATTGCTCAAATAATTACGGATTTGAGAGGTTCGAATAGCTGCTTGTAGCTTCTACACGTGTTCAACGGGCCCTATTCAAACGGATTTAAAACAACAAATATATATACGTATATGAAGTAAATAAATACTAAAGTTTAAATAAAACATGAATTAAATCAATTCGATCTCACTAATACATCACTAGAGTTTACCAAATCTCAACTAGAAAAAGAAAATAAATCAACCACTCATGGTGGACTTTTTAACATAAATGAGTTCTTGGAGAGTAAAGAGAAGAAAAAATATGAAGAAGAAAAAATTACAGAAACAACAGAAGCTACTGTGTGCGGCATCGGGAAGAAGAGAGATATCAACCTGCTTGGTAGCCACCCTCTTTATAGAAAAAGGGTTAAAGTTTTTTTCTTTTGTTGATTAAGATCCTTTTCCTTGATTTTTTTTTGTTTATTCCAAGCTTTCCAAAATATTTTCTTCTTGATTTTCAGTCTCAGATCTTGGCTGAAATGATATCATTTTTCATATTTGAAAAATGCATATTTCAAATTAAATATGTTGCTGTGCGCGACTCTTAGCCTCACTCAAGTCTAAGTTGTTTGTCTGCTGGACCCAAGCTTGCCCAAGGCTTGTTTTTTGGTTGATGACTCTTTTCATGAACTTTTCCTCTTTTCATGTTATTTTTTTTTATTTCGTCTTTATATCATGTCCTATAATAAAACATATAAAATAGCTCGTATTAGATAACATACCATCAAGTTTAACAACCCAAGGTGGGTAATAATGATGTCGTTTTAAGGCATTATCAAACTCTCTCACACTTATCTTGTGCTTGCCTCAAGCACCACACAATACACACCACCAATTCTCATCTCCTTACCTCTAATCAATCCCAATCATTTTGCCACAACTTGTATGTTATATCTCAACCTTCAAATTGCAAAAATAACCATCACTAGTAATTTATAGGTTTGAGCTTCACGGACCCACACCAATGAACAGTTAATTTGACTAATACCCAACCACAACTTGAGAGAGTTTTGTAATTTTTTATTATAAAAATAAGTCAAAAAGAATAACCAATACATAGTAGAACAACTATCAAACATGTCTAAATATAGAGGTTTCATAGAATTAGTTCATGTGGAAAATATAAAGCCTATTTGTAACTAACTTGAGTACTTATTGCTTACTTGAAATATCACCAACCTTTGACACGAGTACAAATATTTGTGATGAATGGCCATGGTTACTCAGTTGGTCACAATTTCAAGTGACTACTAACGCTACTCATAGTACTTTGAGATGTCACTAACCTTTTGATGTGAGTACAAATATTTGTGATGAATGACCCCGGTTACTCAGTTAGTGTCCATTTCAAGTGACTAGAGGAGTAAATTATTATGCATGTTTTTTTTTCTTTTATTTTTCTCTTCCTTTTTTTTTTCAAGTACTAGGCATGAACCATAGAATTCTAAACATGCAAATCTAGATAAGTTACAATATAGTTCTTTTATAGACATTGGTATTTACTCAAAGATAAGAACAATTCAATTTTGAATAAGCAATCCTCAAACATGTCATGCTTAAAATACATAACCAAAGATAACTAATATAGGTGTAAAAAAAATAAAAAATAAATTACAGTTCCTCGACAATGGTTATAAGTACAAATTGATTTTTGAAATGCCCCATTTGAGTGGTTTAAAAATAATAGGGAGAGTTATGAAACTTGGAGTCAAAAACTATTTGGAAGTGCAAGTGTGGTGTGGTAAAAATTACAAGGATGAAATGCTAAAAAGAAAAACTAGCAACCTAAAATGCAGAATGCCTCTCCCCCACACTTAAACTAGACATTGTCCTCAATGTGATGCAAGATAAATAATATGTAGTCTATAAAAAAAAAAAAACAACAATAAAAAAAAGGAAAATAAAAGTAAAAAGAGAAGGGAAAGAAGACTCTTTTGGTGGTCATTGGTTGTGTGGGCGTGCTTATGTGCACCCGATTTGGGTGAGCAGCTACGTCAAGGAAAGAAGGGTGGCGCCGCTAAAAGTGATGAGTGGGGGTGTTAAGGTTTTGGGTTTTGGATTTTGGTTTTAGAAGGTTAAAATGGGCGCTATGTCATATAAGCCTTGGGCAAGGCTTATGTGGAGAATGACACACGACCATGCCTCCCATGCACATGACTGTGCTTCCCTTGCAAAAACATTATAATGATACTGCATAACAGTGCCTTATTGGTAAGGTATGTGTATTGGCATCACGCGACCGTGTCGGGAGAGCACACGACCTTATCTCCTGCACAGAAGCGGTCGATTGATAGCACACGGTTATGCTTTATGAGCTTAACACTAGCCTTGGGCAAGGCTTATTTGGCCATTTCAGAGTTGCCTTCTTTTTAGGTTCCATCACCTGAATTCCCTGTTCCTGTATTCTAATCACACAGAACTCATGTTAACTCATAGAAAAATGTTGTAAATAAATTGAAATCACTAATGCTAATAAATTCAAAAGAAAAGAAGAAAAGAGAAAAATAAATGGGTTGCCTCCCATTGAGCGCCCTTATTTAGCGTCATAGGCTAGACATTGTTAATTCTTAAGCACTCTAATCAATTTGTTTTCTTCTAGTCTACTTAGTTCATTAGAACTTATCATCGGAAGGGTTTCCGATCCTTATAAAAACACATATTCCAAATGTTCAGGCGACAGGTTAGACTCTAGTTTTGGTGCATGCAAAATAAAAGGTAGAAGTTTTGTGTCAGAAATATGAAGGTCAACACATGATGCGTTGCTCCTTTGAGGTTTAAGTTCCTCAAATTTGAACACCATATCTTATGGATTCTCTTCAACAACATGATCCTCTTTTGAAATTTTTAAGTTGTCCACACCAAAATCATCAGAGAGCACAATGTTCAGCTTATCATCATGGCTTGAATCAGAATAATTTGACTTAGATTTCTACAATATCAACACCATACACACAAGACACATCACTAGGATACTTCATGTCATCATAAATATGAAATTTTACAATTTATCCATCAAATTCCGTAGTGAGTGTACCATCCTGTACATCTATCTTCGTTTTGATCGTACTACGGAAAGGTCTTCCTAGCAAAATATCAAAAGTATTAAATAATTTATTATCTTCCATACCCAACACATAAAAATCAGTAGAAAAAAATGAGATTATCAGCTTTGACAAGCACATCCTCTAGACCTCCTTTAGGATAAACAATTGATCTATCGGCTAACTGAATTATAACACTCATTTCTTTTAGTGGACCAGCATTCAATTTTGAGTAGATAGACAGTGGCATAACGTTCATTGATGCTCTTAAATCACACATGTTCTTTTATGCCTAAAGTGACTATTTTATAAGAAATAACAAACATACCTTAATCCCT